TCACTGCATCATCAACTACTCCAACAACAACAACCACATCCATGAGTACAACGGCGACTACTCAGATAATGCTAGGTACAGTTACCAAAACATCAACGACAACAACAACTACAGCCATGAGCACAACGGCAAGTAGTACAATAGTGGCAGATACAATCACTGATGAATCAGATGTTATAATAACAACAACAACAATGACTTCGGTAATCACTGCTAGTACGACAGCAGGAAGTATGAGTAGTATCTCAAGTGCTACAATTACAGCTACAACTATCAGTCTGATGGCAACTGGTACAATGTTAACAGGAACTATGAACAGTGTATCAACAGATACAATGCCCCCAACGACTATGAACACGGTATCAGCTACAGCAATAACCTTAGGAACAATGAGTACAATGACCGCAGTAAATATGAGCACAATAACAATGGCATCACCTGAAACTAGTACAGCACTACCGATGAGCAAATTAAGCACGTTGTTAAGTGATTCAAGTACAATGGTAACGATGACGTCCATGAGCACCACAGGAATGTTACCAACATTATCGAATACTGGATCAAGTCTTTCGATAGGTATGAGAGAAGTTTGTAAAAGGAAAAGTATATGTGTTGTTTTTTAGGCGATGGAACAAGTACTCAGTTGACTGGTTCAATCAGTCAAATGTCTACGAATACTTACAGCACAGTAACCCCGGTGACTCAAGCTTCAAGCGTTTCGATACTCACGACATCAGGTAGTTTTTCTTTTATTATCGGAACGACAGTGAGATTTTTACTTACGAGAAGCGTTGAGTTTACAAAAAAATATCTCATTGATTAAAGATATGTGTCGCGATAGTTGTATGAACTGAAATATTAATAATATGTTATGTTACATCTATTAAGTTGTTTCCTATAGCATGATAATAATAATTGTTTAATAAAACTCATTTCCTAAAAAGATTGGTAGAGTTTTATAGTTAAGAAATCTGCTGTTATATGGTTTATAGGAGAATAAAAAACAAGCATTAAGCTTCAACTGACAAGATCATCCTAGCATTGAAAGTATTGTCTATTGTGTATCTGGAAGACACAGATATGATCTTGATAAAACAATTTAGAATAATAGAGGAACTGATTCTCATCAAGATGAGATAGTATTCTTCTCTATATCGTTTTTGCTGTTTTCTATGTAAAATCTATGAAATGATCTTCGTTACGAATAATTTTGTTGAGATTGAGTTACATTATTATTTTACATTATTTTATCAAATTAATAGTTAAGTATTCCAGATACTGACAAGCAGTGACTTTGATTCTTTTTAATAATTATTCGATAATATTAATCAGTGAATCTTATGATTGTCTGTGAGTACTAAATTTTAACAAAAAAAATCATATCGATAAAGAACTGTTTCAATATTATTCTTCCAACTTAACATTATTGAATGTATATCTAACATTGAGTATTATTGTATAACATAGCTTCACTATCATCAATAATGTCTATGGTATCCGGTACTACTTCAACAATGACAACGATGTATGAGGTAACAACTGAAGAAACATAATATTCAAGTTCAACATTGAAGACGATGACGACAACTGTGTAAGCATGAAAAATAAATAAGTAAACAACTGTCAATTTGTTATATTGTAATAAAAATCACATTTATTAAGCAAAGTTTATACACAATGTTCTACTTTTTTTTTATTGTAATTAAATTTTCAAATCATTGTTATTGCCTTGCACTACGTGATATAAATGTACCCACACAATCTATTATTAATCAACTACTATTCTTGCTTGTATCGTTTGTATAGTTGTCTTCTCTTTATTAAATAAATCTGTATGTTAACAACAAAAAAAAAAGAAAGTACCAATAACCGGTTATATAGCCGTTATGTTTTTTCTCATTGAACAGATGTTGTCGCCAACTTGTTCATTGCTCGATCTCACATCACTTCTCCGGAAGAAGATATATATATATATATATATGTGTGTGTATATGCTGGATGACCTCTGTCTAAGCATTAAAAAAGAGAGAAAAAGAGAGGAAAGAAATTTGAGCATGTATTTTCTCTTTCTCTCGTGTGTATGTGTTCAAACTGATGGCGGATGCTTGTATGGCAAATGAACAATAGATTTTTGAGTGAAAAAAAAAACTCGAAACCATCATCGATAGATGGAAGCTATTCAAATTGAAGACGATATGAGTAAGTGTACTCTCGTTAGATTTTGTTGATCTTCTTTAAAATCACAATGTTTGCATTTGTTCAATAATCGAATTGTTCATGGGTAAGAATTGAAGAAAGGTAGGAAACTTTATAAATGTTATAGATGTATATATACACTAAGATGAACAAAATTTATCACCAACCCTGACTTCGATGTCAAGGATATTTGTGTACATATGTACATCAAAAGCCTTGCTTGTTTGATTGATTATGTTAATTAATTACTACTTATTAGTTAGGTAGTTAGTTACTTTAAATGACCGAATGCAAATATCTACTCGTTAACAACGAAAAAAAATGACGGTTCAAAGAAAAAGTCACACAAGAGAAGGCAATACACATATATGAACGGAAGGGGACGCGCGTGTATTTCAAAAGCAAACACATGAGTTAGTTGTTCAAGTGAGGAATGAGCAAAAAGCATTTATACAGATGTGTGATGATGGTTACTCGTTACTCTAATGATTATAACTCTCTTTTTCCTAGTACTTGTTGCCTGAGGCTTCTAAATAAATGACAACAGCATTCATTTTCTACTTACAAGTGAGTATAAAAATAAAAAAGGTACCCACTCTAGATATTCACAATAGAGTCTATACTTCTACCTAGCAGCAATAATAACTAATCAACCAATGTTCTAATATAATCCGTCCCTGATCACATGCATGAAAGACATATACTGTATAATAATCCTCCGTCTGTCTGTCTTCTATTAAAGCCGAATATGATTGTTTATTTCTTCTAATTACATACAATAGTCGAGCTCAATTGAAGAAATTTTCAATAAATAATAGAAATATATTTTTTCTTCATTTTCTTCATTAACATACTACTATATGTTACTGATAATCAAATCTATTTCGTTAAAGTAATAAAAATAAGATCTATCCTTCAAGAATGCGTAAAAGTAAAATCAGTTTAGCAGAAAAAGTAATTTTGTTTTTCTCGTTATCTATAGTTTCATTATCTTCTAATATATATATACAAATTTCTACTATCGATAAGGTGGAATAAATTTCAAGGAATGTTCGTTTATTTACTAAAAATGAATATTAAATGAGTGATGTTCTCCTATATATATATGCGTGTGTATATCTTTACTACGTCAAAGATAATCAATTCACTTGAGTGATAGTTCATTCAGTAATTAGTGAAAGGTCGTGAGTTGATTGTTTTTCCTTGAGACCATATACATTTATCGTTCATTCATCGTTATATGCATACATATATATATATATATATATATATATATGCATGACTGTCTGCCTACTTCTCATGTTCTAATTGCATGCGATGATGTCCTTTGTTCATAAGGTGTATGCTTGTCCATTCATTGTATATGTGTATTAGCCATGCAATTTCTTTTTTTAATCAACCAACTAAGTATCGTCGTCAGAGTGGTGCTCGTCGATCAACAACGGTGAGAACAATCGTCGTCATCATCATCATCCTCTATCACTCGAGTTACCCACTTGAGCACCCTCTCTTCTCCCATACTCTTCGTTTGTAGATGGCCTAATAATACTCGATATATGTATATGTAGAATTTATTCAGTATGTAAGCAACAGCTGACCCCTTTAGGCTATCTCTTTCTTCCTTGTCGTCCATTCTCACGTCAAAATTCAACCTCATGAACATTTTAATTTGTAAGAATATACATAAGTTTCAATAGGCAATATAATCAAAAAATAGCTGACCGTAAATCCTAAAGACAAATGAAACCATAATCATTAAAATGAGAAATGAAATAAGTATCATTTGTTATTGCGTTTTTTAAGTCTATAATAAAATCATCTTTTTTTTTCTTTTTTTTTGTTTCTTTACAATTATATTAAATTGTATTCAGGTGCAGTGAATAAATGTGTGAATCTTTACAAATAGAAAAAAGAAGAAGAAGAAATAATGCATTATTACATCATCGTATGAACACATAAATAAAGAGAATGAGACAGATAGATCTATAGTCGATGTCTTCTCATCGCCGTCAATTTCAATAAGACAACTAATCAACGAAACTATCTAATATGACGCAAACAAACTAGATTTGCTTTTATCATTCTAGAAATATTGTTACTCAGTAATACAACTATATATTTAACTAATAAAAAAAAAGGAAAACTTCATTGCATAAAATAACATTTTCCCTTTTTATTTGCTTACTCAAAGTTTTCGATCGTGCCAAGGTCTATTTGTTCCGGCTTGAATAATCTGTCCTCTCTATTTCTCATCATTGATAAAATTCAATTTAGTTGTCTAAATACATGCATGTGCCGGTCATCATCGTGGGAAAGCAACGAGCTGCTATTCTTTACTAGTAAAAAGGTTATTCTCGCAGTTGGTATCAGTGCTGCTGATGCTGATGCTTCTTCGTCTTCGTCTTCGTTGTCTTCTTCTTTTTTTTATGTTCATGTGCTACAAGTCATTCTTTTCCGGTTGCTGCTGATGGTGTCTGTTATTATCCTCCTAGTATGTGTCTTCATGTTCTTCTTTTTTATCTTCGTCGTTCTGATGACGATTATCGACGACTAATTGTATATGGTTGTGAGCGCAAAGCAGAGAGAGAGAGATAGAGAAGAGAAGGAAAAGAAAAAAAAAGAAATAAGCACACATAGTATAGCTGTTCATCGACTAAAAGAAGAAGAAAGCAGTGTGCGTCCACTACCATCACCGACCGTGTCGAAGTGTTGTTCACACGCACGTATGCCCAAGATTTTCTCTCCTTTCTATCGTTACTTATTATCGTTTTTTTCATGTTCATCTCCTTCATATACCTCTTCTAATATTCATGTTCATCTAATTATAAAGTTGCACACATAATATGACAATGATGTAATACTTATCATGAATAAGCTTGTCTATCGACTTTGAAATATAGACTACTGAATTTCACTAATCAAGCATGACGATATGTCTGTCTATCTATTCTTTATTCTCGCTCTCTCTCATCTATCGTCATAAAATTGACTTTTCATATTTCCTTTTCTTTTGTATGTCGACTCGAGTTCATCTAACACGCATGAAAACGACTCATAGCACATCCATCATTTGACCAGTCTATGGCATTCTGCAATGCGAACAGATTATAGCGATGACCAACGATCGATCATATTTTAGTTTAGACAGTCTCTATACACGCATATATATATATATATATAACTACGTAGTCATCAATCTGTGAGTGATGAAGATGTCGACTTTCTAACGAGTTTCGTGCATGGTCGAACATTCTTCACCTATATGATGCACTCTCATCGTTTCTAACTTTTTTTCTCTCTCTTCCTTATGCGTCTTCTTCTACTTCTTCTTGTTCTTCTTTATCGTCTTCCTTTTTTTTTAACATGAAAGAAACGAGTAAGTATCTATGAGCTATGAAATGAAACAGATGAATTCCGGTTTGTGCGTGTGTGTATGTTTAAAAGAGAGCGAAAGAGAAAAATAACTTTCTGCTTGTTTGTTTCAAGGTATCTTATTTATTCATATCGCGTTCATTGAAACATCAAATAGATTATAAACACAATTTATATAAATAGAACCTGCTCTCACATCTCGTCTTCTTTATTTTTCTTTATCTATCAATTGTCATTTCTTTTTTCTTCTTTTCTCTATGCGCTTCATGTAAATATTGTTTGTTTGAGACATACATAACACGATTGCTTTCGATCGTCGCGATGGGATGAACGTGACTTTCCAATTGATCAACAAGTATTCTTTTTCTTTCTTTCTCTTACTTGTCTACACATATTGCTTGTATGTCTTATTGACAAGCGAAAGAAAGCTTCAACAACGTCGGCATCAGTTCAATCATAACCATATTGCATGTCCTGACGTGTGTGTATGTGTATATGCGTACATTTTTGCGATAACGCTTATTGTTATTACCCCTGTTGATAAATGCGCGGTCGCGCGGACATTCTTCATCTTTCTTTTTTTTTGCTTTTTCATGTTTTCTAATTAAAAAAATCCGTTGTTTTATTGCTAAGTTTGAGTAGTAATAATTCTTGTGATCTAGTTTTTATGTTAAAATGAATAGGCCCTGAAGCAATCGATAAAATTTGTATGCATGAAAAACGTTCATGGTATATTCAAACATGTTATCCCATCAAGATATTTCCCATCTTTATTTTTGTTTCGTGTTTGCCATTATGTAAGTAACCTTTCCACACTAGTGATGGTTAAATAGAGTCATATATATATGATGCACCCCTACCTATCTATCCCGTGGCTTTTACTAATGGTTCGTCGATTTCTATCATCTTACGCGATCATCATACTCAATTCTATTCTATTCTTTTTTTTTATTCTAGATATGTCAGCCTTCTTCTAATATGAATATAAAAAATATAATGAAAATACTATTATTATTTGTTACTCTATGTATTCATACAATCTATTGTCTCGAATTAAGTAAATAATTTAATTTTTATATAAATATTATTTATAGAAAAAATCTAATCTTTATTTTTTCTTTCAATAAATAGAAAAACTATCAAGTTGTCAAACAGCATTAGGAATGCAATCAGGTTCTATACCTGATTCAGCTATATCAGCATCAAGTAGTTATGATTCCAATAGTGTTGGACCAAAAGCTAGTCGGTAAGTCATAATATATAGATATCAAGTAACAGATGTAATTACATAATTTATTCACATATGCTCTTTTTTCATTCTTGAGTACATCAACAAGAAGACATTGATGGCTCATCATTCACTTGTCATTTGACAGAAGAAAAAAGCCTTGTTCTTACATCGATGATGAGTCTATAACATGTAACTTTTCTTTTTTATAAAGAAAAAAAAAAGAAAGAAGAAGAATAACATATGAAATATATCCCTTAGGCATGGTATTGCATGACAATAAGATATATTTTCTTTTTTCTCTAGAGCTCGAACTGAACAGTACGGTGGTGCATGGTGTCCATTGAATCAAATAACAACAATACCTAATGAATGGCTAGAAATTGATTTTGGAAATTTAACATATTTAACACAAGTTGAAACACAAGGTAGATTTGATAATGGACGTGGAAAAGAATATGCTGATTATTATGTATTAATGTATACTCGTTTAAATCATATTAATGATGATGATGATGATAATTTAGTATCATGGATTGAATATAAACCACAAATTATTAATAAAAATGAATATAATACATCGTGGATAAATGCGAATCAAAATACTTATATAGGAGAAATTCGTCAATTAAGTGTGTTTAAATATTAAATTAAATATTTCAGAAATGAAATTATCTATATATTTAGATCCACCAATTGTTGCTAGACGACTTCGTTTCTATCCTGTTAGTAAACAAACTCGAACTGTTTGTATGCGTGTTGAAGTGTATGTATCATTCATACCTTTTCCCAATTTAATTTAAAAAAAAAACTTTTTTCTTAGTTATGGCTGTTTATTTTCTGATGGTATTGTCTCATATTCAATGCCACAAGGACGAACAGATATAAATTCATTAGGTGATGATACATATGATGGAAAATATATTTCCGATACAAATATGTTAATTGATGGTCTTGGAAAATTATCTGATGGCATAACAGGTTCAGACAATATGTCATTAATTGATGGTCGACAAGCATGGGTTGGATGGTCAAATGATACAAATACACATCTAACAATTATATTTCAATTTGATTATATACGTCAAATGAATCGTGTAACTATCCATACAAATAATGTTTTTTCTAAACAAATATCAATATTTAAAACAGCTATTATTACATTTTCATCAACTGGTGAACCAACTAGTTATTCAAATGCAATTATTTCTGAACAAAATCGTGATGAAATATTTGAAATAGCTCGTCCTATATTAATTAAATTAAATAATCATATTGCAAAATATGTACGATTAGATTTATATTTTGATTCAAAATGGTTATTAATCAGTGAAATAACATTTGATTCACAGATATATACTGAAAAACTTGAAACGAAAACTAATGATCATTCATTATTAAATATTAATCCACAAACATTATCACTATCTGAACAAATGAAAATGGTTACAGATATACGTAAACGTAATCGTGATCTTTTACAAACTACATCAACAATTTTAACAACAACAAAATCTCTTTCATCAACACATTTTACAAATTTAATTACAACAGAATTATCATTAGCATTTTTTATTGGAGCATCTCTAGCTATTGGTTTACTATTAGTTGTTTCACTTGTATGGCTTATACGACGAAAGAAAAAACTTCAATTTCAAAAGTAAATTAAAAATAATTATAATAATAATAAAAGAAAACTATTTTAAATTGTTTTTTCTATTTAGATTAACAGAAAAACCATGTAATAATTCTTCATGTTATACATATCCTACATTACCTATACGTGAATTTCATGATTTAAATGCACCTATAACTAGTGCAATTGATGATCGGGAATATGCTATACCAGATGTTAATTTCTATTCAACATTTGCTCATAGTCCACATATAAATCATCATACAAAACATATTGCACCATTATCATCGACATCTTCATATACATGTAGTCCTCGTTTAATTCGTTCATCAAATGTGAATTGTTATCCGACATTGAAACCACTTCCACAACATTGTTGTATTCATCAACAATATTTAACAATGCAACGTCATCATCATCCGATAATACCAACAAATTCTAATATGATTTTATCTTCTCCTCCTCCTCCTGCAACAGATGAATTTTCATCAATTGAAGGATCTTGTGGAAATAGTTTAATGATAAAAATTAATTCTGTTATTGATAATCAATTAATAACAATTAAAGAAATCAATTCGGAGAATTTAAATATTATGGAAAAAATTGGTGATGGTTCATTTGGAAGTATACATATTGGTGAAATGAAATTACTTAATAATGAAACACAAACTGTAATTGTTAAATCATTGAATGATAATAATGATGAAAGACAAAAGTAAATATTTGTAATTTATAAATGAAAAAATTTGAATTTTCTTGTTTTTTTTTAAGATCATTATTTTGGAAAGAAATTGAATTATTGTCATTAGTAGATGATTTTCATATATGTTCATTATTAGGTGTATTAAATAATCAACGAACAGTGGCTATATTTGAATATTATTCACTTGATTTATATCAATATCTTCGTCAACAATCTATACCAATGGATAATGGTTCAGCATCTAGTTTTTTATTATCATTAGCATGTCAAATAGCATCTGGAATGAAATATTTATCGTCAAATTCTATTATTCATCGTGATTTAGCAGCAAGAAATTGTTTAGTATCAACAACAAATCATCAATTACATATAACTGATATAGCTATGGTTAAATCAGAATATGCAAATGATTATGCACGTGTTGGACGTTTACAATCACGTATATCATTACGATGGGCTGCATGGGAAACAATATTTCTTAATCAATTTTCTCTTAAAACAGATGTTTGGTCGTTTGGTGTAACACTTTATGAATTATATACATATGCACGTCAACGTCCATTTCATGCATTAACAAATGAACAACTTGTACAACAACTTGCTTGTCTTTCAACGGGACCATTATCTTCAAATGCTTTAATTTCATTGCCAAAACCAGAACTATGTTCAAAAGAAATTTATGATATGATGTGTGAATGTTGGCAAAGAGATGCACAATATCGACCATCATTTGCTGATATATGTACATTTTTATGTGGTAGAGCATCAGGTTCAATACCATTGGTAACGACAGAACCATGATAGACAAACAAAAAAAAAGACTTTAAATTGTTTTGAAAAGAAAATAATGAGTATTTCTATATATGTGCAGATTTTGCGATTATGTTAGTTTTTTATTTTTCATTTTGTATGTGAGTGTGTGTGTGTGTGCGTGTGTTGCTCCAGTCAGATTTCTTATTTCGAGTTTATGTTTGTATATGTATATGTGTGTGTGTGTGTGTACATATAGATTATATTGATGATCATGATGATTATGTGAGAGTAATAAAAGTCTTGACAATGATTTGAATATTTTATATGTATAAAGATAGTTTTTATGAGTTAAGATATGAACGATTAGAATTATGATGTCAGATGAAGATGTTATGTGATCGTATTTCAATGACGGCTATTAAATCAGTAATCATAAATTGAAAAAAATCATTAGAAGAATATGAATGTGAACCATATCAAATAACACAAATATAAACATATGTAGAGTGATTCTAATTCTACTAATCTATCAAAAGGATTGTCTCTAAAGTAAACATATCACTGTCATATTGTTTTCTTCTATTGAGACATTGGAGATATTTTATCAAATTTCATAATTTCTTTTCGATAAGATATTTGTTTTTTTCTTAATTAAATGATTATTAAAGAATATGATTACATTTGTTCTTACACAATGCCATCTTATTTCATTCGCGGGATCAGATAGATAGTCTAGCAAGTATTTCTCTCTATACTAAACAAGTAATCACGATCAATACAATACTGATTTAATTATGTCTGATGGCAATCGACATTGTCTGACATCTAGTGGATTCTTTCTTATTTGTTTAGCAAGAAAAATGTCAACAATATATATCATAAACTGTCATCGATGAAAAAAAATTGTATAATATTATTGATAAAAAATATCTATCGATGGAATTTAAAAAAGCAACATTTAGATTATGTTCAATGAGTTTCATTTTCTATAATTATTTTTGAATCATTTTAATGGGTAATCATCATTCAGTTAAACGTGAATGTTTACATGAAGCAATTCGACGGAAAGATGTTAGAAAAATCAAACAAATTATTTATAATAGTGATATAGATTTTATTAAAAATGATTTTAAATCTCTTGAACTTGCTACATTATATAATTTAACTGAAGTGGTTGAACTTCTTCTTCGTCGTGGTTGTGTACCAAGAGATAAACGAACAGCACGAGCATTTGATCTCGGTAACAAAATTATAGAAAAAAAACTATATCTTATAATTTTATTTCATTTTATTTAGCTGTTTGGAAATGTCACAAAGATATAGCAACAATGTTTTTAAAAGCAGGAATTGAATATAAAGGACGTAATCAATTTAATGAAACTATATTATTTGTTTCGGCATGTGGAAATAATTCTACATTAACAGAAATTCTTATTGAAGGTGGATGTGATTTAAATGAATGTACACGTAGTTGGACAGCTTTGCATGTTGCTGCAGCAAGAAATCATGATGAAGTATTACGAGTACTTGTTAAACATGGATGTGATTTAAATATTCGTGATCGTGATGGTAAAAAAAGAAAAATTGATTTTTTTTATTATAAATTATTTTATTTTTCTTTCCAAAAAAGGTTTTAATGCTTTGATGTTAGCAATTTTAAATGAGAATTTAAAAAATATTAAACTTCTTGTACAATGTGGATGTTCAATAAATATCGATGAACTTTATTCTACACCATGTTTAGCTAAACAATTAGCTAAATATCCTGAAATCGAACGAATACTTTGGAATGAATGTACACGTGCTAAAAATTTAAAAGAATTATGTCGTCTTCGTATACGTTCATGTTTAGGACAACGTACATGGAAAAAAACATCACAATTATTATTACCAACACGATTAAAAGATTATATTGCATTAAAACAATTATTTACTTCATGTGAAGAACAACAACAACAACTAACATTAATACGATCTCCACGTACAAATCTACAAGCAATTCAATCATAACAGTTTTTGTTTTTTAATCTAATGTATTTTGTTTTTGTTCTTTGTATGTTTTTTTTTGACTAGTCATTATGAATGTTGTCAATGATTTTAATCTTGTATTCATATATAAATATTTCTAGATAAATATGGCGACAACAACAACAGCAACAGCAGCAGCAGCAATTAAAACAGTATTTTCAACAAGTACAATTGAATGGGCAATGTGGGCCAATGAACATGTTTTATTAACCGGTTATGTTTTAGGAATATTCAGTATTCTTACAATTATTTTTCGTTTTCCATTATGGCAAATTGCTATTTATGGACTTTTACTTGCATTATTTATTATTATTATTGAATATCCACGTAGTGGACGTATTGTTAAAAAATCTAAAGCACGACCATTACAAAAGTATCCATCATTATTATTAACGAAATTAGGACCGTTAACTCGAAATTATTTTATACGTTTTGTTGTTTATATTTTATTAAGTCTTCCTTGTCTTTTTCTTATATCAACAATAGCACCTGCTATTTCATTAATAATTGGTGCTGGTGCATATGGTTTAGCTGCACTTTTTCAAGAACAATGGATACCAGTTGAACCAAAGACAACGGACAATACAGTGCCTATGCCAACTAGACCACCTCCACGTGAACCACTATATCGTGCTCCATCAAATGCTTAACTTCTATTTGTTTTTAGAAAAAAAAGAGTTATATTTTACTTGTACATTATATATTATTTTTATTATGTGAAATCAATTTTCTTACATCTATTTTTTATTGTGAAAATTTGTCAAATAAATACAATATAATATCGATTTCAATAAATTGTTAAAACACGCATTTAACTGTTTTTCTTTTATCCATATCATATGCATTCATTCGACTTACATGTTAAAACTGAAACTAGAAGTCTTTTTATTGTTTCGTCATTAACTCATATACAGTTTAACCTTGAATGAGGCGTATCTGTATCAGATAGAATTGAATTCTGATAATGACAGGTTTCAAGTATCAATTAATTTTGTCTTTTTTTTAATTTGTATAATCTACTTGCAATTTAATTCTTCGCATTAGTTATAAGCATAAATATGAATAATTCTTATACTTTTATTTCTAACTTTTATATATATATATAGACTTATATTAAACATAGAGAAAAATAATTTTAACTGTATTTTGGAACATAATGTTTTTGACCATCTTTCATGATACTCCGTGTATGTATTGCTAATAAAGAAATTAATTCAGCATTTGATGTAATTAAATTAGATAGAAATGGTTCTAATTCTGATAATGTCCAAATATTCTTTCGAGAAAATAATGTTTTGATTCTAAAAAAACAAAATAATAAAAAAATTTAAATATAATTATCATTATGTTGTTTTTGTCCTCTGCGGACTATTTACCGTTCATCGGCTTTTTCACTCAATGCTTCGATATCAATATATGCAATAGTATCTTCAGTAATAATAACATTTTCCTACGATAAAAAAGGACATTATTTAATATAAAAAGTTCGATAACTTACTTTTAGTTGATCCAAATCAATTGGAAAATCAATGGGTACACATTCTCTCCAACATGTCATAAATTCTGATAATTTCATCTAGTCAAAAAACATAAATTTAATTCATTAAAGTTAACTATTATTTTATTTTTACTTTTTCTAAATTTCGTAATAAATCCAATGCATAATGAATTGAAATTACACTAGCATTCAAAGCAATTGAACTACCTTAAATAAAGAAAATCGATTAAAATTCGATTTCACTCAAATTGATTCTAATACCATCAGTTGAAATAGTACCAATTTGTTCAAGAAATTGTTTTGCAATATATCTAGAATAAGATTGTAATTTCGATTTAAATAAAAACAAACCAAATGTATCGTTTTTTATCTACTTTGGACACATATCTTTCATTTCAGTAGCACATTTATCAATTGGAATATTATCTTTTGACCAATCTTGAATTGATATAAGTGAAAAAGTATATTCAATAAGTTTAGTACGAAAATCAAAATCCATTGAACGTAAATAACCTAAATGTAAGAATAAATAATAGAATCAAATCGAAGAAATTTACAAACCATCAACTGTAATTACATTGAGTTTCTTTAAATAACTATCAATAGTATTATCACTAGCTTGAACTTCATTTTTTAGATCTTCCAATGTAATCTATATGTGAAAGAGAAAAAAATGGTTTATATTTATGAGGAAAAAACTCGAATATTTTATAAATACTTTTCGTGAAGTATTCTCTTCATCATCGAAATGACCTTGATATGGATTTTCTTCAAGTAATTGACGAATACGTCTTATTCTTGGTACACATTGTGTTAATTCAAGTTTTGAATGTAGAATAGAATTAACCTGTATGATTTCAATGATTATTATATGTATAATTAATACACAAGAAAGAATTACTTTTAATGAAATACATCCATTTTCTTTATTGGCTAATGATGAATCAAGTGGACTAGCAAGTAATAATGTATTTGATGTTTCAGCTGTTTTTATTTCAAATACTTGATTTGCTGTACATAATGCAGCAAAATCATCATTTGCTCCTCGAATGACTAGTCTAGACAAAAATTAATACAGATTTGTATGATTATATGAAACAATGGAATCATCAGGATGACCCTTATTCATCTGTATTTGTTTAGAACCATTTAAATTCCATGATAGTCCGTTTGAAATGTCGCTGGCTCTAACTCCACTAATGTCTTTCATTGATTTTCTAGATTCTGAAAAAGTCCGTAAAGTCGTTAGAATCCATTGTTTTCCATTAGAACCAGATTTATTCTACAAAATATTCGTTGTGAGCAGTAACAATAACTACTCAAAACATTCACTTGTCTTTCCAGTGTTTATAGACGATATTGAATTATCTTTCAGAAAATATGATGTAGACATCAGACAGCAAAATTGAACTGTAGAGGAAGTAAAATGGATGATCATTATTAGTTGATATAGTTTCGATTTTTCATATCCTCTTTCACTTCTACTCAGATTTCACCATGACTTTAATGTGCAAAATTAAAATATTACTTTTTACTCTTTTCTAATTCTTCAATTAACGTATTGTTAACTTCAATTAATCGAATAGAATCATCTGGAAATTGTTCACCAATAGTCAATTCATAATAAACTGGTTTCAATTGGTCAATTGGTATTCTTGCATCTATTAATAATTTCTGTACATTCTCTGGAAAATGTTTCATATTGTCGTTCATTTTTTATCTATCTGCAGGAGAAGAATTATATCAATCTGACTATCAAATAATGTACGAAAAAAAAACACGTAATGGAAGAAAATTTCATATGAAAAAAAAGAAGAAGAAAACTTGAGAAATGGAAAAATTGCTCTACTTTGACTAGGAATCAATTTTTTTAGAATTCACAAATACAAATACAAATAACACTTAAAACATAAAGTAACGTTGAGCTAATGGTAATCTAGCAGCAAGTGGTAATGGTTCACTAACAATTTTTTCACCATCTTTTTCAATTGTAATCTGACCTGTTGTTGTATCAATATCAATTTTTGGTGTATTATCATTTCTAATCATATGTAAACGTGTTATCATACGAATATCATGTACAGCTTCAACATGTTTACATATTCCATAAGAATTTGATGCACTTAATTCTGCACATGCTTTCGAAACAAAAACTACAGAATTTGCATTTGGACTTCGACCAACAGCACCAAATTTTTTTCGTAAACAAATTGGTTCTGGTCGTACATCAGCATAAACACCAATACCAGCTTGAGACCATGATACTTGACCACCTTTTATAATCATTTCAGGTTTAACACCGAAAAACATTGGTTGCCATAGAACAAGATCAGCCATTTTATGTTGTTCAACTGAACCAATTACATGTGCACAACCATGTACTAAAGCTGGATTTATTGTATATTTAGCTATATATCGGCGAACACGATTATTATCATTAGCATTTTCCTAAAGAATATTTAAATTTTTAGAATTTTTAAAAATTAAATCATCATTAATCATACTGTATCTTCAGATAGATAACCCGTAATAGCTTTCATTTTATCAGCTATTTGCCATGTTCTTGATACAATTCGACCGACATGACCACCCGACTACAATGAAAAACGATAGAATTGATAATTATATTTTATAATATTACTTGTGATGAAGTTGAAATAATACTAATTGCTCCAATATCATGAAGAAAATCTTCAATAGCTAATTGTTTTTGATTTTCTCCAGGTTGTCTATAGACTGCTGCTTTATTATTACATGATGTTATTATCACATTTGGTTGTTGTAATAAATCAAAAAAATTACTACGAGCTGCAGCTGTTTCTGTACATGGAATTAAAACAACACGATCACGAAACATTGGAATGGCATCTGGTGCACTATAAGCTTCACGTAAACTATCTAAATCAGCATGGACACTAATATCATGATATTCAGCCACACGTAGACAAGTATCAATAGCGGAAGGTGTTGCACCCCATCGTTCATCTAATCGTAAACCAATTGCTCCAGCAACAATTTGATCTTCAAGTTCTTTGGATAAACCTTCGGCTTTCGATGTATTTCCTTTTCCATAAAAACCAAAATTCATTGGATAATCATCAGTTGCTTGTATCATATATTTAATATGATTTGGACCAGGTGTTGACATTGTTACACTACCATTCATTCCTGTTCCACCACCAAACATTGTTGTTACACCACTCATTATTGCTTCTGTAACAACATCAGGTGATGTAAAATAAGCACATCCATCAATACCACCAGCTGTTAATATTAAACTTTCACCTTGAATCACTTCAGTACCAACACCAATAATCATACCAGCAGTAACACCAGTCATTGTTTGAGGATTTCCAGCTTTTCCAACTCCAGCAATAACACCATCCTAAATTATTTTCTTTTAAATAGTAAAAATAATAATAAAAAATAAATTTACTTTAATGCCAACATCAGCTTTAATAATTCCAAGAACAGCATCAATAATAACAACATTAGTTATAACTGTATCTAATGCAACATCATTACGTGTATTTGATGCTTGACCCATACCTTCTCGCAAAACCTAAGAAAATTTCTTTTTATTAATTAAATAAAACAAAAAAAATCAAAACAAACTTTTCCTAAACCAAATGTACATTCTTCACCATATGTTGTTAAATCTGTTTCAATTTGTATTACAAGATTTGTATCACCAAGTAAAATCTATAAAAAAATACAAATACGAATTTATATATGTATATATTATATTTACTCGATCGCCTATTGTGGGTCCATAGCGAACAAGATATAAATCACGAGGAATAGTATATTTTGTTGAACGACGATTAACTTTTTCTAAACTATTTTTTTCATCCACATGTAAAAAGTTATTTTTTCGTAAATTTTTTTGATTTTTCTTCAAATTTTCATCATTAACAGGTCCATCAAAAAGACCATTACCACCATGAATTATTCTAAATATAAAATAATTCTAATGAGAAACAAAAGATTCTAAAATTTAACCTTTGTCCACCAATTGGTATAATTGGAGCTTCTTTTTGTTCACCAGGGTTAAATGTCAAAATATCACCAGCAGGAATATTCTTATAAAGAAGAAAAAAACAACAGATAAAAACGAATGAAAATTTGTTTTTTTTTCGTCTATTTACTAAACGCATTCCATAAGCAAGTGTACGATCAAACGCTAGATGTCTATTTGCTTCAACAAAATGAAAATGACTTCCAATTGATATTAATTCCGTACTCTCATTTGTTACAGTTATAAATATACTATCACGATCACCATTAATTATAATTGGTTGAGCATCTTTAAGAAATATTTCACCTGGATGAGGTCCTGAATCAGCATCATTTGCTTTCTGAAAATAAAAAATTATCTTTTGTTTTTTTCTTAATCTATCAAATATTTTACTTGAAATAAATCAGTAGATGGAATAGGTAAAAAACTTCCATATAAAGCTAATTCTAAATCACCCATATCCGTACAAATTGGATTTCGTATAATAACAACTTTAACACCATCAGGAAATGTTGCTTCAAGATTAATTTCTTTAATCATTTGTTGTACACCACTGAGTACCATATTTTTTCCAAGAAGTTTTTTTGCTTGCTGTTGAATATCAGATAAACTAGATTTTCCATCACGAATAAATTCAAGACATTGTGCTGATATTAATGCAACAGCTTCAGGATAATTCAAACGTATACCACGAGCAAGACGTTTTTGTGCAACGCTACCAGCATAACTAATTTTTAAATTTTCAAATTCACGTTCAGTTAAACGCATGATCTGAAAAAAAAACTAAGAAAATGGAGGAAGAAAAATTATGTTATTTTTTTTAAATTTTATTTCATTCTTTTCATAAAATCTTTATTAGCTTGAAGACTTTTATTTGAAAGTAGAAAACGTAATTGTTCACGACTTAAACCAGATGCTGTCCAATTACGATCACGTTGATAACGATTTTTAATATCATTGGATATTAATAATTTCATATTATCATGAAAATGATTCCATTTATTACAATCAACTTGAGAATTTTCGCCGAGAACAAATGCTTGAGAAAATTGTTGTCGTAAATTTTCACCAAGATCACGACCTGTTTTAGATTTATCAATTGGCCATTGTTTAAATAAACGAATTAGATCAAAATAAAGTTGAGATGCTGTACGTTGTGCCATTTTATTAAATGATACAAGCAAAAAAAAAATAAAATGTAACTGATTTGCTGACAATAGAGATTAATGAGTCATCACTCTATTAAAGCAACCACAACAAATAATTAATTGGTGCGTACATTTAGTCTATTGTCGCTACTGTCTCTTAATGAAAATATACCTTGCGAAGCTAAGATGAGCAAATAATCGAATAGAAAGAAGAAATACAATAGATGATACTATTAACATTTATTGTCAAGTATTTATGTGCAGGAATAAAATAAAAAAAAATATATTCTCATCATTGTAACTATACGGATTTAGAACGATATCTGTATTTACTATGTATATCTTATCTACATTTAGTATCGAATCTGAATAGAATTATATTTGACAGAACAAGAAGAAATAACTAAATATTGACTTTATTTGAAGAATAACTAATAACTAGTTGAAATTTTATTTTTCTTCTGTTTAATCATGAATATGAAAAATTATTCAATATTAGTGATCTACATTCCATAAAATGGCAATTCATAATTCCCGATACATGAACTTGCTACTTATCACAGTATGTATGTATCGAGATTCTTATAGATAAGACAGGTTACAATTTCACTCATACGTGTTTAGCCGTACTTGATTAGAAAACGAATATGGTTTCTATTAGTTGTAGATTACTAGAGTGGCAGCATAGATCAAACATTTTGAAGACCCACTCCCATCTTCATATGACGATGCTGCCTCAAATATGTTAATATTCTTACTTGTTAGAGTAAATGAAATGAAGTCTGATGTGGAGTTGTTTATTGTCCGCAAGTGTACTGTCCGTGAGACAAAGAAAATCTTAACATATATATAGCTCACTCATTTAATATATTTTGTTTTGTTTAACCATGGTGAGAAACAATTAAAAAACTTCTAACAAAGAATTTGATCTTTTACTTTCTATCTTTTACACAAAAAGATGCTAATAAATCATTTATATAGTATTTTAGAGAGACTTTTGTTTTGAGTATGTGTGTGTTTATTTCACAAGATTTTGGCAGACAGTAGAAAAATTCGTTTTCTTTCTCATGTATTTATCTGAGTTATTACTTGAAGAAGATTTTTGATGAGAAATTCTAGATAAATAGTTATTCAATAATTGATCTCCGGCTGCCACTTTATAATAATAATAATAAGAATATGATCTTTGCAGCAAAGAATTTGAATTTTGATTTACATTTTTGATAGTGTTAACAATTGTATCAAGGAAGGCAAATCTTCATTTTTTTTAAGTTTTCGAGTTATTACGAATAGTATTACATCGTTCATGAAGTTTACCTTTTATTCTTCAAGACTAAGTAGTAAATTAAATACGATAAAAAACGATTCTAAAGAATTTCAGACTGTATTTTCTTGCTGATAATTAGTTTTCTATAAAATATAGAGAGTATTCTTTATTGCATAAACATTTTAAAAGGACTTCTTAAAATAATGCTATCGAATAAAGTGAGATATTGATAATAAATAGTTGAATCGTCATTTCATAATTAAAGTAATAATTGTCGAACGTTTTGAAACAGAATTAATATAAAGCAATTTACGAAAGAAATTTTTATTTGTATGCGAAATCTAAATCATATGTTTTAGATTTATCGTTGTATTTACTTTTTAATTTTAAAAATTCAACATGAAAATAAGGATGATTTATTTATCATATGATGGCAACTTTTAAATCTAGTTACTTGCTCTTCGCTAATTATTTTGACTATTATCAGAATTACCCATCAAAATTTTATTTACATAGTATTTTAATTATACAGTTTATTTCATAAAATATAAAAGCATGTATGAGTAATAAGCAGTATGATCGCTAGAATAAAATGTTGTTTAACAATATGTCCTTTATTTTCGGCAACTTTCTGTGGTGGTGGTGGTAGTAGTGTTGTTGTTTGGCGTCATTCAGTTTTTGAAGGTTTTTCACCACTTTCACCTTTGTCTGGTTTTGCAGGTTTTTCACCTTTTTCTGGTTTTGAAGGTTTTTCACCACTTTCACTACTTCCACCTTTTCCTGGTTTTGAAGGTTTTTCACCACTTTCACCTTTTCCTGGTTTTTCAGGTTTTGAAGGTTTCTCACCACTTTCACCTTTTCCTGGTTTTTCGGGTTTTGAAGGTTTCTCACCACTTTCACCCTTTTCTGGTTTTGTTGGTTTTTCACCTCCTTCAGGTTTTGTTGGTTTTTCACCTCCTTCAGGTTTTGGTGGTTTTTCACCCCCTTCGGGTTTTGTTGGTTTTTCGCCTCCCTCAGGTTTTGGTGGTTTTTCATGTCCTTCGGGTTTTGAAGGTTTCTTACCTCCTTCAGGTTTTGAAGGTTTTGGTCGACTATCTTCACTTCCGATTTGAGGACGACGATCACCACGACCGTTTTGTTGATAACGATTACCTCCACGATTAATTCGAACATTTACATTCACATCGATTTCTAAATATAAGAAGATAATATTTCACAGATTATCAATATCTTATTCAAATAAATTATCACAAACTACCTTATTTTAGAAATCTATTTCCTTATCATCATAGAATTAGTTAAAAGGTAAGGTATACTCATATGTTTTTAAACACTAAGAAGATATGTGTTCTCCAGGGATTTATATCTTCTTAACGAATTTTTATTTGTCTTCTCTGATATACAATATTACTTAGATGAAATTAGAATACAAGATGTATCAAATGATCGACTATTGTTTGCTTTGTAATCAGAACTACCTCGACAGAATGAAGAAAAATACATTCTAAAAAATATTTTTGATTAAAATAACTCATAACTATTAATGATAGATGCGACTAGTTTTATACTATATTACAATACATAAGATCAATTAAAGACATCCGAATAGTTTTTTACCGTTATTATTGTTTAAGTTCTGTTCGTTATCTTGATTAGCACATGGTTCATCTTTTTCGTCTTCTCGTTCATGTTCACCACCGGGTTGACGACCACCATGCTGATTATGGCCAGGTCGTTTACCACCATGGTCCGGTCGTTTACCGCCATGTTCAGGTCGTTCACCACTGTGATCAGGTTTTCCACCATTGTGCTCGGGTTTTTCACCACTGTGGTCAGGTTTTTCACCGCCGTGTTCAGGTTTTCCACCATTCTGTTCGGGTTTTTCACCACTGTGCTCTGGTTTTTCACCATTCTGTTCGGGTTTTTCACCACTATGCTCAGGTTTTCCACCGGTCTGTTCAGGTTTTTCTCCAGTGTGCTCGGGTTTTTCACCAGTGTGTTCAGGTTTTTCACCATTATGCTCAGGTTTTCCACCAGTCTGTTCGGGTTTTTCACCACTGTGCTCAGGTTTTCCACCATTGTGCTCAGGTTTTTCACCACTATGTTCTTCACGATCAGGTCGAGGCTTTTTACCACCATTGTTTTCATTATGTTCACCGCTATGGTCTTCATGACTTGGTCGAGGTTTCTTGCCACCGTGGCTTTCGCTTTGTTCACCACTATGATCATCACGCTCAGGTTGACCTTGTTGTGGTCGATCACCGAACCATTGAGGGCGTCCTTGAGCAGCACTACCAATACGTACATTCACGTTAATGTTCACATCTATGTCAGAAGAAACCAATATGAATATGATATACTACATAACAGATTTATAACAAATCAAACTCTTAAATTCATCAAAAGAACTAAGAATATATATTCATTTCAATTTATATTAAATATAATAATTTTTTTATCTAAACTAAAACTGAGTTACCATCACCATTGTTATTACCATTTTGTCTTTGAAAGAGATCATCTTTACCACCTTTACCATGTTGTGGTGAAGGACGTTTTTCAAATTCTTCATGTCCTTCGCTAGCATCGGGTCGTCCTCCATGTTCTTTGTCACCATTTGGTCGTTCTCCATGTTCTTTACCGGCATCTGGTCGTCCCTCATGTTCCTCACTAGAATCTGGCTGTTCTTCATGACTATCTTTGCCGGGTTTTTTACCTAAAGATTTATAAAAAAAAGAAGGTTCAAAAGGTGTAGACGTCTAATTATATTATTACCTTGGCATTGTGCACCTATGACAGCACATATGAGAAGAAGACACACAAACTTATGCATATTTTTTTATAATGATTGTGAATGTTTGGAATTAAATTCATTATGTTCGTATATATATATATGCTGTCCATTGACAAAAACAACGTAAACTTATTTTCTTAACAAAGAAATAAAATACAAATGTCCTTTTTACTGATATTTTAACCGGGTCCTGTATATTTGTCTGTGTGCAAAAAGAAATTTGATATCAGTTTGTTTAAAAATTATTATTATATAAAAGTCCACATAAATGTTTTTGTACGTAGTCAAGAATGACACAAAAATCTTAATATTTGCTAAAGAAACGAAGTAGAAGTCAACAAAGAACCATAATCCTAATAATAAATATTTTTAAAAAGGAATCGCAACCTCTGTACTTTAGTTTATCTTATCAAATTACCTGTAAATCATATGATGCAAAGAGTTTATGTCGAAAATGCTAAAGGTCAAATTATTTCTTGGATTGACAAGGCACTGAGACTAGTAATTACTACTGATTATCAATCTTTATTAAGAGATAAACTGACGAGGGAACGTTTTCAACTGTCCAATCACTTTTTCAATAAAACTTCTTGCGTTAAAAGTTATGGATCAGAATATATATGTCAATAGAAAATAATTTAGATCACTTTTCAAAAACAAGTTATTGAAATTAAAAAATCCAAATCAAACAAAATCTATTCGTGTTGTTGGTAATTATAAAATATTTTTTTCGCTCATTATTTAGAACTCAGAAATGAAGTCTTGAGGAATTGAATTTTTCTAATTGTTAATAAGTTCGAAGAATACTCTTTTAAATTATTAATTTAGATCCATCAGCAAATTTTGAAAATATCGAAAAATCTTCTATACTTCGTCATGCTGCACCATTACTTGGTGAACATACTCGATCTATTCTTCAAAGTGAACTTAATTATACAAATGAACAACTTCATAAACTTATTCATGAGAAAATTATTCAATAATTTCATTTCGTATTTGTATATCTATTTTGCAACGTACGAAAACAAGAAGAGAGAGAAAAAAATATCTATATATATATAATAGAGAATCAAACTCGATATGACTGAGTTTTTTCTTCTCTAAGAACCAAAAAAAGGAAAAAAAGAAACTGTACATAATGACATAAGTATCAGAATCAATCTTATACATATTAATGATTGATGCAAGGTAAGGAAGATATGATGAACAAAGCATTTGCTTTGTTTTTTGTTCTATTTACATATGATATACAAAATCAAAAAAGAAAACACTATCACACAAGACAAAAAAAAAGAAAACGAGGAATAATTGTCATTCTTTAGCATTTCGATTCATCATTTTGATTTTTCAGTGGTATGTTCTAAATCTTCATATTCACCATGTTTATATTTATGACGTAACTAAATGAGAAATAAATTAATCAATTATGAATTAAATTAGATATCAGAAAATAGTTTTACTTCATGCATAAATAAACATGATACATTATATCTAATTGTACAGCACCTGGTAAACCTTGTATGCGTGTTAATGAACTCATAAATGAATGTGGATCAGTTATATCAAACATTTGTATTTCAATTCTAAAATATTTCAAATATGTATGGTTTTTCTTGTAATATAATTGATTTTACTTTGAAAGAACATCAAATTGTGCTAAACTTCGATAAGGTAAATCAGCTTTTGAAACCTCATCATTTAGAAAACTATTTTGTAGTATTGAAGTATTTGGTTGAACTGATACAGTTGTATGTAATGGAGGATAGAAACTTGTATTAAATAACGATCAAATAATGATTGTAAATACAACCATTGATTTTTAATCAAATTTGTATTCCATGTTTGTTCAACACGTATTATTCGTGGTAATTGATAATAATCAACAAAATTATGATAATGTAATTGGATTAGTAGTAGTAGATGAAGCCATTTTCTAAAATCAATAATTTAATAATTGTATCGAAATAAATGAAAAGAATATCGTATTTATTTGTAATAAGAAAAAAATCACCAAAGGTAGATTGAGCAATCATGCATGGATACTTTTGATTAACAATGTAAGATGAGTCACTATGATTTAATCGTCTATATCTTAACTTGTGCCTTCTCCTTTTTTTCTTTTTACATTGAATCGTTTCGGTTGATAATACACAATAATCATTGACGTGAAGGAGCAATAAAGCATGCAAATTATCCAGGTGTTAATTTTGCGTCGATATGAATCAATAAATACATGTTTCTGTGATGAGAAAATAAGAGAAAGAGGATGACTGTAGGAGATTCAGTCATTGGACTTCATAATAGAAAAACAAGATGTTTTTCTGCTGTTTATTTTTGAGATTACAATACTTTTGTCAAATCTTCATTGTTATATTAAATGCTATGCATGAATATAATTTCTTTCGTTTGACATTTCTCATGTCAACTGATCAATTGTGAGCGTTTGAGTTAATTTTGCTTTTATTGATGATTTGTTAACATACTTAATTATAATTTATTGAGTTACTACTAAAAGCATTGGCTGTCATATTATCAAATCACTTATTATTAAAAGAATTTCAAAAATATTATTATTGAAAAGTTTATTATTATTTAACTTATAGATGATATAATGCTATTTTCGTATACTTATCATTAATCTAGATTTCACAAAGTATTGTATTCTGAATGTTGAAGAGTACTAATTTCTGAATAGAATTAAAAATAAAATGATATACGAGTCTTTGAAGAGATGATCATAACTATAAATAGGTGAAAAGAAACATTCAATCTGTGACTATCAATATTTGATGCTATTCGAAAGTATTTTGTTCGAGCTTAATAGGTTTGTTTATAGTCTTGTTTATTAAGAATGCAACAATACGGTAACGATGTTTGTCCTGTTCTTGTGATTTATTCTCGTTTGAAGTATTGCGCATTATTATATTTTTCCGTATCAAAATTTGTCCTAATTTTATACAAAACATACACGAACATATCTACCCACCCGAGAGAACGAAAGACTATGAGAGAAAAAGACAACACGGATGAAATAAAGTGAGAGCAAAAAAACATTGCATAATGTATAAAATATGGAAAACGTAATCAGGGCAATACGTTAAATGAAAAGGATTCAAATGAACAGGGCAAATATCGTTACAATATCGTTTATTAGTATTGTTGTGTATTAAGGTATTGATGAGTATTGATACTATTACAACCCTAACAATATCTTTTAATCAAATCGAAAGAAGACATCTGAAAGGTTTCCTTCTTAATTTACATGGAATTTAAAATTTTTCTAACTGATTGTGAATATAGTTTTAATTCATTTTTGACATTCTATAATTCTTATATTGATTATTTGTCAAAAATGACTAATTTTTTTTCTATGTTTGTCATATTCAACAATTTAATCCAAGAAAATTCACGATAAAATTATGCAGTATATCAGAATTATAGGCCTCTCTATGTTATTTATGAAAAATAATTAATATTATATTTTTAAAAGACACCTATTTGTTGAATCCATTTGTCAGTTATGTACATGATCGAATCATTTCTTCGCAAAGACGTGCTCGACTTAACTGGTGTTATAATCATTTAAGTTGGTTAGTACAAGATTGATCAAATATTATATTAGTTTATATATATAACATAGGAGGATGCCTATAATATTGACATCCTCTGTATAAATATTACTTTCATCGAAATTCGGCTGCACTAAGTAAACAAAAATCGATTTTCTTCATAAAAAAATTATTAAAATACGAACATACTTTATCATAAATGTTTTATTAATGATAAATGAGATAGATAGGGAATTACGCAGGTAAATTAAATAATACAAAAAGTGTCAATCTATAATATATTTTACTATTTTATGAAAATAAATAGTGATCAAAATGCATAGAATATATATTACAAACATAGAGAATAATGAATTTAATTAAATAAAAGTTCT